TCTCTCTCTCTCTCTCTCTCTCTCTCTCTCTCTCTCTCTCTCTCTCTCTCTCTCTCTCTCTCTCTCTCTCTCTCTCTTTCTCTCTCTCTCTCCTGTTCATAAGCAAAATAGAGGCTTATGTCTCTGTCACTTTCACACCCACGCGCACATTATTTCTCTTTTTTTCCGGCTCGCTACTCTCTCTCGCGCGCACGCGCTGAGGTTTTGATATAGGCTTGGATATCTGTGAAAACCGAAGAAAAGCAGTGAATGTATGTTGAAACTGCGAATGGCGAAGGAAGGAGATACGTCCATGTGTTTGCTTGAGGCCGCACGCGCACAGGGAAAGAAATATAATAAGCACCTAGATTTGGCTGGCAGCTGGCACAGGTACACCTTTGGAGAATACAAGACCTGTCTGCCTGTGGTTACAGTTGTTGGTGTACCGTTTGCATGTGGGTGTAGTTGTATTTCGGGAACTCTTCCTGTAATCCTTAGTTCCATTAAGCCTCAGAACATTTGTAGGTATGTCATCTTTAACACTTGACCGTATGTCTTCTCGATTTACCGTCTGCATGTGGGTTTAGTTGTTGATTGACCTGTATACTCTTCCTGTAATCTTTAATTCCGATAAACCTCAGAGCATGTGTGCTTATGAGTGAAGGTATGTTTTCATCCTCAACAGTGTGGACTAGGTGTTCTCGTTTTGACCTGTTGGTGAATGGATTGCGTTTTTGCAGGACCCGAAGACGGAGAACAACCCTTACCTGGGTTTCGTGTACACGTCGTTCCAGGAGCGTGCGACATTCATATCACATGGCAACACTGCGCGCCATGCCAAGGAGTACGGGGACATGAAGCTAGCTAATCTGTGTGGGACAATTGCCGCCGACGAACGCCGTCACGAGATTGCGTATACGCTAATTGTGGAGAAGTTGTTTGAGCTGGACCCGAACGGTACCATGCTTGCCTTCTACGACATGATGAAGAAAGGAATCACTATGCCCGCCCATCTTATGTACGATGGTGAAAGCCAGACGCTATTCGACGATTTCTCCGCCGTAGCTCAGCGTCTGGGCGTTTACACTGCTGCGGATTATGCCAGCATTCTGCAGCACTTGGTTAAGCGTTGGAAGGTGGAGAACATCCCTGGTCTTTCTGGTGAGGCGGCCAAGGCTCAGGACTTCGTGTGCAAACTTCCTTCTCGCATCGTTAGGCTGGCAGAACGAGCGGAGTCCAAGCGTGCCAAGGATGAACTCAAAACTGCCCGCTTTAGCTGGGTGCACAACCGAGAGGTGTTACTGAATTAGACAGCCATCGATTCGGTGGGCTAGCTGTTCAACAACATACCATAGGGACCAATGGTGTGCTCCTACTGGGGGGCGAGTGGCAGTTGGTAAGTGTGAGGTCGGAGCGTTTGAAGTAGCCGTTGACAATGTACGTTCTTTAGCTTGGTGCAGAACTAAGCAGGGTTGCTGAGCTAGTTTGCCGACGGCTGCGTAAAGAAGTCAGAAGGCCTCCTTATTTAGCTTGGTCCAAAACGACGAAGTGTGGCTGAGCTAGTTGGCCGGTGATCAACTGAGAAGCTTTGCAGAGCTACTGAGCCGGTGGTCGTGCACTTTATGTCAGGATCCACTGGGGGGGGGGGGGGGGGGGAGGGAGACTGGTAGTGTGAGTCCAGTTTAAGTAATAACCATTGGTGTTCGTAGTTCCAACATTTGACCGTATGCTGGACAGTCTTGTGATGCCATGTCGTATGTCATGTGTCACTCCACTGTTTATGCTTGTTGGAAGGGGGAGACGTCGTCTGGTGGTTTTCACTCGTGTCGATGTAAGTTGTATAATTCGTCGTGTCAGGTGTTATGCCGGAAGAGGCAGTGAGGGGAAATTCTTCCTCTGAATGCTCGGAGTGATAAAATCACTTGTCTAAATGCTCGGGTGTCATGCCGTATGTCATGCATCCCTAGTTGTGTGTGCTGTCGTGTAGAGGACATAGTGAGGGGGAAGACCGAGACACCTTTGGAGCTCGATGGTGGGTAAGATAGAGACTGATAGAGACCGGAACTTGGGGGTGTCACCTCATTTGGAAGTGGTTCTGCAAAGTGGCAGCGTAAGTATGATGGTGTTTATGTTCTTCAGCGGGAAGGTAGACAGGTCCCTGTATGTAGTCTTTGCTTGGTTGACATGTCCGTGTATGTAGTCTTTGCTTGTAATTTAAGGACTTGGAGTGGGAGGATGTACAGTCGGTAGTAGGTTGTGTGTGTGCTGGTTGAGTCTTTAGGCTGTGAGTATGTCTGACCTTTCTGCCTTGCTTCTCACATGTGCGGCCTTGGGTTTTAGTTGAGGGTATATCAAATTGGTCTAATTGACGGTAGTTACTCCTTTTGAGTTCTGTCTGATCTGCAGTTGAGAGAACGGGTTTCCGGAAGTACACCCCATCGTCAGCCATCGCTTGTACATTGTGTCATTACGTCGCTTTCGGTAAGCAAGTGTTTGGGTGGGTGCACGGTTGCAATTGGAACAGTAGATGGAGTGGTGCAACTGTAGGGTTTCCTACAGGTGGGGTGCCATGCTCAATTGCAGGTTTCTGCAAGCACTTTTGGAGTATGTTTTTTTGTCGGTAGTGTCTAGGCTCTTTGAAATTCAGTCCCCCCCCCACCACCACCACCTTTCTCGCATTTTATGTTGCAAGTAGGGCAACACATGTTGGTCGTTAGTGACGTATGCTAGCTGCCTCCCGGCATAGGTGATGATAGAAGTAAGTGGACTTCCTGGAGCGTTAATAGATTGGGATGGGCAGAGGTCTATATATTTGCAGGAAGCTTTTTGAGAAGGGTAGCCTCCGAGGACTACCGGCTGTCTCTGGAAGAAGCTTTGAGAAGGGAGGGTAGCCAGATGGGAGTGCTAGTTGTCTCTGGAAGAGCTTTTATGAAAGGGTGCACTAGTTGCAGCAAAGCTTTGAGAAGCAAAAGGGTAGCCTGCTTGTGAAGGATGGGTAGCTGGCTGGATGGAGATTACTGGTTGTCTCTGGAAGAGCTTTCATGAAGAGACTCAGATGAGTGTAATTGATTGATCGATTCTTTATTAGAGCTCCCCCAGAAGAGGCTTAAATGAGTGCAATGGATGGGAGTCGTTAGACCCTTATGAGAAAAATGAGTGTTACAAGACGTGAGAAAAATGAGTGTTACAAGACGTCCGCCAAGAGGGTGTCGTCTGGTTTTGATCAGTGGAATCTGTTTTGTGTCGTGTATTGTGTGAAGGGACTGTTTGTGGTGAAAATTTTGGTGAGCTAAACAATGATGATTGAATGTGCATGGGGAACCGGTCTGCAGCAGCTGGCTTGTCGATTTATTTGAGGTTGTAGTTGTGGTGAAGCCAAAGCTTTTGTGAGTTGTGGTGAAGGCCGAAGCTTTTGTGAGTTGTGGTGAAGCCAAAGCTTTTGTGGTGTAGACAGTCAAGATCTCTGAAGCCTGAGTGTTGTGGCATCTCTGAAGCCTGAGTGTTATGGCATTTTGAGTAGTGTTTGTGGGGGGTATCAATTCTGCTGCGGGGAAAATGGTTTACAGTTATTTGTTTGACTTTCCCTGGACGTGGGCCTTTTGTGCCCCCTGAAATCCGGGGTCTTTTATTTTCAGTGTTATGCACTGTTATACCACCAATACCTCGCGCAGCTATCGGCCGGGGGCCTTTCCTGATACGCGCCGCAGCCTTAGGGAGGTCGGCCAAGGGAAGGCCCGGTCGCTCCTTTTGGCCGGAGCCCGGCAACTATGGGGTGTTACTCACGAAAAAAAGAAAATATAAACACAATAAAAAAAACGAAATAAAAGAATATAGGCGTGCCGTAGGGGGGAGAGAGAGAGAGAGAGAGAGAGGAGGCGACCTTCACGGAAGGTTGTGGCCAACTCGCCGCCCCCCTCTCTCTCCCTCTCTCTCTCTCTCTCTCTCTCTCTCTCTTTTGGAGAAACGAATCGTGGGAAGATTCGTTCCCTCTTCCCGCATTCATGTGAAGATTCGTTTCTCAAAGAGAGAGAGAGAGCGAGAGAGAGAGAGAGAGAGGGGGAGAGAGAGAGGGGGGGGCGGCGACCCCCCCCCTCTCTCTCTCTCTCTCTCTCTCTCTCTCTCTCTCTCTCTCTCTCTCTCTCTCTCTCTCTCTCTCTCCTGATAAATGAAACGGGAATGCATGTTCCCGCGAAAGCGGGAAGATGCATTCCTGTTTCGTTTTTCGAAACGATAGCGGGAATCGTATTTCTTTTTTCTTCTTTTTTTTTGTGTTTTTTTTGCCCGTTTTTTTCGTTGTGTACGTTGCACGTTCGGGATGGCTGCGCCCGGTAGTCCGAGCCTCGGCACGGATCGGCCTACCAGTCGGCCGAGGCTCGGACTCGATAGCTGGGCCAGGTACTAGTGGTTTATGCTCAGGCCTCCAATGAGGGAACACCAGGAGCTGCACCCATCAGCAGGTGTGACACCTGCTACAGCATGTGGGTGATACTAGTCAGGGGTCAGTCGGTAGCATCAGGACCTAGCTTCATCTGAGTGGCCAGTTGCTGTACCTCCCCTCTGGTCCTCTCCCCTATGTGGTCTTATCCCGAGATGGTGGGCACCAAGTATGCCCAGGTAGGTATGCGAGCCCAATGGGAATTGAAACTAAGATGTCCTGAATGCGATGTGTGCCTTGCCAACGAAGCTAGGGGCTGAGTCCAGCAAAGAATTCTGAGGTGACCCTGAGCAAAATGTTGTTTGTAAACCGATGGGCTTATCTCAGTTGGTGCACTCAAACTGCTAGGGGCTGAGTCCAGCAAAGAATTCTGAGGTGACCCTGAGCAAAATGTTGTTTGTAAACCTATGGGCTTATCTCAGTTGGTGCACTCAAACTGCTATGCAGACCGGAGTTTGAATCCAGATGGAACCAGATGAACGAAGTTCTTGAATGACCTGGGGCTGGTCAGTTTCATGATGATATTTAAGACTGTCGGCCTTTAAATCAGAAAAGAAAAGAAAAGAAAAGAAAAAATTGCATTGAGATTCCTTGTGTGTTGGGTTCGTCTGGGTCTCTGATTGGAGGGCCTGCCTGGTCAGGCGATCTGCATGTGTCCAGGCACAGACTTTGTGCCAGGGTGCATGGAAAGATTGCCCAAGTGTGGCTTGGCATGAAGTAGTTAAGTTGTTAACGTACTTGATAAAGGGATATGTTAATGGGGCCCATATTTGGAGGAAAGAATTATTCTCCCATGCAAATCCCCACGTAAATGTTGTACCCAGGGTGTTGTGGGGTTGGAAGTGTTGTGGTTGAATGTTGGGTGCCAAAATTAACGTTTAAATCACAAGTACCTCCGAGCCTGTTTTTGCCGACCCTGAATTTCACTGCGCTCCGAGTTTGCCGAGCCTGGGTACCACTCCGTTTTCTTTCTGGTACTCTCACGGAAAGAATGAAAAAAAAAAAAAAAAAAAGAAGAAACGTTGCGGCCGTGAACTCGGGAAAAAAGAAAAAGAAAAGAAACGAAACAAAGCTTTGGCCGTGATTGCAGTTTGTCTACATTCTTGGAAGTGGTAGTGAGAGTGTGCCCTCAGCTGAGGGCATCTCAGCCCCGTGCCCAGGTTGTCAGATTCGAAAAAGAGAATAGAAGGGGAAGAAAATGGGCATGCGGATCCGGCCGTGAAAATGGCTGGATACCTTCCCCTTGGTACCAGTGTGATGAGTGTTACGATCCTCTGACAAAACACAGCTTGAGCAGATCACGGACGGCTGGAGCAATTCACGGATTCCCCCCTGCCCCATTGGCAGGGGACTTATAAAAAACACACGAGCAAGAAGAAAAAAAGAAAACAGTAGCATCCAGAATGTGACGGCCTTACCGGTGAGGTGCATTCTGTGGAGGAAGACTCTGAGCACAGCCTCCAAGACTACCCTGCCCGACATCATTGCAGTAGAGATACTATTTTCTTTTTTTCGTTTTTCTTTCACTTGCGGGCAATATAAAAATCTGATTTTTTTAATTTTTAAATTTTAATTTAATTTTTGTATTTTTATTATTTTTTATGATTTTTATGTTGTGTTATTATTTTTTTTTATTATTATTAAAAAAAAAATCTGATTTATGGGACAGTGCCGACCCTGTGTCCCACCCCCGATAACTTTGGGAACTGGCAAAACATCGTAATTTCCCAACACTGGTGGAGTGTATCTTGTTTAAACCACGAGTCTGAGCCTCGTTACTACTGATTTGGATTTCTGCTGTGCACCGAGAAAAAAAACCCGAAATTGACTTTGTTTTTGTTTTTTTCAAAAATTTTGTTGAGTCTCCCTCTGGTGTTGCGAGCCATGTTGGTCTGGTCAGCCAAGCTCCAAGGGCGATGGAAAATGGCTGGGAACGGTCATAGGACCGTGCCCCCCCCCCCCCCTCTCCCAACCCTGTGACAAAATTTTTGTACTTGTTTGCATGAAGTGTTGGATGCCCCGAAAGGCCTGAGGTATAGGGGGCATCCATAACTTTTACCACCAGTTTCGAGGGCCTATTGGTCCTTTTGCGATGATCTGGGGTTAAACCACCAGTACTTGGCCCAGATATCGGCTGCGGAAAATAATAGAGTAGAAACGTTTCTAGTTGGATGAATTTGGGCGCTCCTGTAGTGGCCCGTACGTTTCCGAAAATCACGTAGCGTTTACGCTATGCGACTTCAGGAAGTACTGGTGGTTTAACGAGTATGAACGTTTTGTTGCAGGGGGGATCTACGACTTTTCGCTCAAGTGGCCCTCTGTGTATAATGAGGTATAGTTTGAGTGTCAGTGTGATGAACAATTCTTTCACTACGATTCGAATGATAGGGATGGGTGGTTTTTATCATGGTGTGTGTGGCAGTGTGAGGATCATGAATGTTCTTGAGAAGAATGTATTGAGTTACTTCAATTTGCTCTGAAATGACTTGCATATCTCTATATGGTTCCCAGCATGTGCTGCTCCCCATGAACAGACTGGAGCATTTGTCTCAAAAAAAAAAACAAGAATTTTTTTTTTGGCAATTGGTGAGCAAGAATGGATGGTTCTAGGCTTTGGAGTAAGTAATGAGACTGTTCTAGGTGTTGGAGAGGTGGTCGGCGGAGAGGGAATAGGAGTGGATGTTTTTTTTTATTGTGGCGTGAGGGACAGTGTGATGATCAAGAATGTGTTACATTGCGACTGTGGCAAACAAACAGGAATGTATGGTTTTAGATTGATGAAGTAATTGGAATGGCCATGAATGCATTGTCCTCCGATGTTGGCGGCGGCGTGGGCCGGGGGGGTCCGATTCAATGGCTGTCATCTTGAAATTTTGATTCAGTTGTGGTTCCAGTGTATCATTTGTCCTCTCACATTGTTCTGCTCGAAATTGGACGGCTGGCATTGCACTCTTTCCCTTTGATTCTCTTTGTGTCATATGTCATATGCTTTTCATAGAAACAGAGGGTGATAGATAGGCTTCAGAATTATTGCAACAAGTTGCAACTTTGATTTGATTCTTCCATTGTGCTAAAGTTCTGTTTTTGAATCTTCCCGAGATTCACCGGACGACAAACTGGCTGCGTTTCTGGAATACCCGGTATGGGCGGATTCCTGATAGAAGAGGCTGTCCCTTTGGCCAGCCTGTGAATGTGCCATGTTGTCGCTGACCACTTGATGGGACTGTAGTGGGTTTTGGACCCAACACCTGTCTGGTTGTTTTGTTTGCATGGGACTCTCGAGTTGGTTACCTGTCTGGTGGTTCTGTTGGCATGGGAGTCACCTTGGAATATCTGTATGGCGGGTCATTGTTAGCACTTTGGGGAGGGTCCTACTTGGCATTGTTAGCACTTTGGGGAGTGTCCTACTTGGCGCTGTGGTCAGGGACCTATGTAGCACTCTACTGCCGTCCTCGCTATCCCTTGCAAATTTAGTGTAGGTGCTGATCTCATTGTCCTGGCTGTGTCGACTACCAGTAGAGGTGGTGAGTGCTGATCATGGTCCTGGCTGTGTCGAGTAGGTTTTGTAGGGTCACGAGGGGGCAGGAGTCCTGTGCTGGCTGGCCAAGTTTGGTTGGCTATTGAGTCCTATGCGTATCACTGCGCTGGAAATCTGAGCAGCTGCAGTTGACAGGTGTTACCTTGCCTCTGGTATGGCATTCAGGGTGTTTGGTTATGTTCCCCAGTCCTGTGCTGTTATGTGAGGAGGTGCGCCTGTTCTAGGTTGCGTTGGCGGTTACATGTCCAACCTTTCCCATACTTTGCCTCATCATGGGTATGTCTTGCTGGCACGTACTCACTGGTAGGCTGTGGCTGTTGCTGGTTGGA